GCATGCTCGGTGGGTTTTCAATATTTGTGTTTCGATGGTGAAGAACTGACCCGGGCCTCAATAGAAATTACACTGTGCCAGGTGAACAACGACAAGTGTGCGTTTTCTGTCAAGTGTACGTGATCTTGCATCTAAATCACCCCCAAGGATACGCATTCTATATATGCCTTCGGTCTACGCCATAATATCATTCTTCTCCTACCGATTCTTCAGGGATTATACCTATTATTCGCTCATTGAAGTTGGTGAGTGACCATGCCAACTCATTCTGCGCCTCTGCTCATTATCTTCCCCTAGCTTACGAGGTCTGCATTCCTATCCTATTCTTGAAAGCTCTACTCTGACCGGCTTCAAGGCAATTACACTGAGCGCATTCATGTACGATTACTCCCGTTTATCTCCCCACAACTCGAAATTCAATCCTTTCCAGGCTCCTCCTAATAGAATATGTGGCTGCGACCGCTGCGGGACACGACGCAGACAACGCGATTGCTCGGAAAGACAAACGCAAACTCCCACTACCCGTATGGTCCCCATTTCGCGCCTAGTTCCGGTCTCGCCTCATTAATCCTCCTGTAGTTCTGCTGCTGGAGATACCGTCCAACAAAGGTATTTCAATGAACACTGCCAGAGACATCTCTTGTAACTTTCTTGGCAGGCGTACTTTATGTATACCGTAAAGTGGTCGGTACTGCAGTATGTGATCATTCGACCGTTGGTCTCGATTGTCGGGGTCGTATGTGAAAAGTTCAAAGTGCTATGCGAGTCTGAGGGATTTGATTACCATTATGCAAATGTCTACTTGGAGGTGGTGGACTTTATAAGTATCACGTATGTTCGTGTTCATTGCAAGCTTTCACGTATTCTAACGTCGACTAGGATTGCGCTGTACGGCCTGCTCATCTTCTACGGCCTTACGGCGGAGGAGCTTAAAGGACGACGGCCGTTGTCGAAATTCGTGTGCATCAAGCTCATTGTCATGGTGCCGTTTTACCAAGGCTTCGTGTTCTCATGGTTGGAAAGCAGTGGGAGAATCAAAGGTGTGCATCCTACCGTCTCCATGACAGTTGTTTTCTGAGAACGAACACAGCCACGAAGTACTGGAGCGCAAGTAATATTGTCAATGGGCTGAATGCGCTTGCTATATGCATCGAGATGGTGTTCTTTAGCGCACTCATGCTATGGGCATATACCCCAGCCGAGTACAACAACCCTGGCCCAAGACGAAGATCTGGCGCGCGCTATGGGACTCCATCAACTACGGCGACTTCTTTTACGAGATATACCTATCGTTCCAGTTCTTCGCCGACTACCTGCGTGGCAAGCCCACTGCTCATGGGCATGGTCACCGCGCAGACTTTGGAGCTGCATTTGGGGTGGAAGGAAGAAAATCGGCTGGATATATAGGGACGAATAGGAACAGTGAGTTTCGCAGTCAGTCGCGGGTTAGCTATGATGAGGATATCCGATTAGCACCGTATAATTACGTCTCCTCGCCGCCGTAGAGGAAAGGGTAGTGTGTATCTTTATTATTTTCTGCTGACAAGTAGTGGGGATTGTGGACGTTTTCACCCAGTTTCGTTTTATGATTTGTTGTAGCGATACATGATCACACCATTACAATGCTGGTTCATACTATGGAGACGAGTTCAGCAGGAATTGTTCGCTGCCATGACAAGCACTGGATAGTGAGTATGGCCTCGCATCTTGTCAGGCGCGGACAGCGACGTCATGATATTACGCGGCCTGTTATGCGCCACACGTGATTGAGATTCTTCGTTCAAAGTAATGCTTTCACGCGTCTTGACCGGCTATTCGGCCTTTGCGTGTGTCAATGCGCGTCTTGCTTCCCGGTCCGTTCATCTACCGCATTATCGAAGCCCATCAATACTGCCAACGTCAACCTGTCAATCTTCAATCCCACCATGTCCAATCTGAGTGGTCTCACCACCCGCCGCTGCATCCTCGTTACTGGCGCCACGTCTGGCATCGGCCGCGCCCTCGCCATTGCGCTCTCTGGAGGTTCTTCGCAAAGACGCGTCGTAGCTGCTGGGCGCAGGCTTTCGAGGCTAGAAGAGCTCAAGACGACGTATGGGATGGATATCGTGGAATTGGATCTGGCGAAAGAGAAGGAGGCGCTCAAGCTTGACGTGGAAGCTATCGTCAAAGCGTATCCAGATGTGCGCCCACAGGCTGTTCTCATTGCAAAAGTTACGCTGATTTGGGGTGTTGGTAGCTCGACGCTGTCGTTTTGTGCGCTGGGGTTCAGTTTGAGGTTCATTTGGATAAGCCGAAGGATCTCAATGCTGATGGTACGTTTCATCGGGGAGAACTTTCACGTTGATTTCTGAATTTACCGCGTAGATTTGATGAAAGAGCTCTATGTGAACTATACCGCGAACGTTATCACTGTGAACACCTTGTTACCCCATTTCCAGGAATTGGGGGTAGGTCTTTTTCCTTGTTCTTTGTCTCCGAGTCGTTCACTGTTCAGGCGAGCGGGCGCCACACGTCCATCGTGACTGTCACGTCTGCATTGGCCATCGCGCCAGCGCCATGGGTGCCAAACTATGCAGCGACAAAGGCGGCGCTCCATAGCTATACAATCTCTCTCCAGGCGACGTTCAAAGGCACAACCGTACATGTCGCAGAGTTGCTCCCGCCGTGCGTACTGCACACTATATTTGATGTCAAGTAATGATACTGGGCATAGACTCGTCGAATCGGAGTTGCACGATGGTAGGTTTCTTGAAGAGATTACGCATCTATTTACTGACCTGATTTTCAGCGGCAGGAACGACTGCCCACCTATCGAAATTCTGGATGCCACTGGACGAGTTTATCAAGTCGGCGGTACCGCGGTTGCTTGAGGGGGACTTGGTGGTTCCGGTAGGATCAGCGGAGGGGTTGTATAAAAGGTTCGAGGAGGGAAAGATTGAGTCGGCTGATAATGCACTGAAAGGGAGGAGGGAAGGCCGGCGCTGAAGAGATGCGGCTTTGATTGAATTTGTGCCTCCGGCACGTCAACTGACTGGAGTCGACTCAATGAGAATTGCAATTCGATATGATAGACTTGGATAACGATGCGTCTAGAACCAAGAAACGCGCCAAGTGAGTGAAGATCACGTTCATGACGATAGTTAGTTGAGTACAAGAAGAGGCGTTACGGAAAGTGCTGGCAGGCCGAGAGAGCCGTGGATGGTCAGAGATTTGTCAGATGAACATGTAGCGTAATGGTCAGCGCGTGAGTACATTGCAATTTGTGAGGTCGCGAAAATAGCGCTTCAAGGGGGAGTACGGAATCAATGGAGGAGCCGACAGACAGTAGAGCGGGAGACCATTCCTCCCGTGGCGCCTCCCGTGTTCAAGAAACGGAAGTAAATGCAGGGCGGGCATCGAGGCCACCCCACAGTGTCACTGCCACAAGGCTAGGCGAGTTTCTTGTGCATGAACTGATCGGGGCTAGATCGGGTAAAGAGCGGAGTAAAGGTGTAGAAAACCGGCCATCCAAGGCATTGCTGGTTGAAAGAAACGAGTAGAGATGTGGACTTGAACGGCAAAGTAGAGAACAACGGGTGACATGTCATTGGCAAACGCTGCTCCAATGAACAAGCGGCTGACGGCAGGAGCGGAACAGGAACCGGAAGGCCCCGGATCGGAAATAGACCCCCACAGTTCACCCGGTGCCATGCTCTCTCTGTGATATACCACCATGAACCTCCCTCCATTACCGAAATACACACTGGCGAGGCGAACTTTGTATACCGCACCAAAGTTCTTTGACGGTCATGCTTCTGTCCCAGCGCTGCCACCAATACCAGCTACCAGGAATGGCGGACACGGAGGTCGGGGCGGGAAGCCCGAGTTTGTCATGAGTGCGACGATGAGCGTCCATCAAGGAGCATATGGCGCCGACGGCAGAAGAAACAGCGTCATTCGAGGCTGGGAAGCGCAGGGCGGGCCGATGCTGCGCCGGGGACGGCGGATGGAACTTGACGTCGGCGGGTACGGCATCAGCAAGAGCGGTGCTGTGGGTCAGCCGCTGGGACGGGCTGTTCAGGTCGGCGAGGATGCCTACTTCATCGGCAGGCGCGGCATAGGTGTGGCAGATGGAGTCGGCGGTTGGAGGAAGGGCAAGGGCAAAGAGGTTGACAGCAGTACGGAGAGCGGGAGTGCAGCCTTCTCTCGTGGATTGATGGAGGGTGCGGCGGAGGAGTGCGAGATGGAACCTCCTCGGCCGTCAAATTTTATCGGCATGCTTGAGCGCAGATGGGACGCGTACGACGAGCTGCGCGAGCTCGAGGATGCCATCGACGTCTTGGTCGTTTTAGAGCGAGCGTATGCCAACACCAAACCCGTCACACAGGGCTCATCCACCGCGTTGGTTGCCGTGCTGTCACCCACAGGCGCCACCGCCACACTCGAGTCAACAACCCTCAAAATAGCGCATGTTGGCGACTGCATGGCCATGCTCATCCGTGATCATCAACTTGTGTTTCGCTCTGAAGAGATGTGGTGGGCCTTCAATACACCCGTTCAGCTTTCAACCCATGCAGCTCCCGACGACGTTAATCCGCATACCTACGCCGTGCCCGTTCGCGAGGGCGACCTCGTCATTCTTGCCACCGACGGCCTCTCAGACAACCTCTGGGACGAGGACATCATTGACGAGGTCGAAAAGTGGGATGGCAGTGACGTACATGTCCTCTCCGAGGCACTGTGCTCTCGTGCACGCGCCGTCGCTCGCGATCGCACAGCACATACCCCCTTTGCTCAGCGTGCTCAACTCGAAGGTAAAAAGTTTGACGGCGGAAAGAAGGACGATATATCCGTAGTCTGCGCCTTAGTGCAGCGAATTACATGATGTACATTAGAGCAGTAATATGTATCGTATCCCCTTAAACAGATTACTTATACTTTCTGTACAATAGAGTCACAACATGTCAGAACTTGTTTCTCCAAAATTCAGAGAAAAATGAATGTCTTGAGCAGCTATACAACGACCACGGCAGTATTCGAAACTGCAATCTCACCTACACCAGCATAACCGGAAAGTGACGCGTTAACCATTACGCTACGCGGCCATGAACCATATCTCCAATACGACATACTGTGTCTTTAACAAAATACGCCACGTTAGTCGTCACTACTGAAGGTAAAAGTCCGAACAACTGTCATATACATAGCTTTATTCAACTCTTACTTTGCCCCAATGAAAGTTGCTGTTTTCATCACAAACTCGCTTGAAACGTCTATAAAGCGCCGCAATAGCAGTCTTCCACTTCTCAGCATCAACGTGATCCTCGGCGCGGTCATACGTCAAAAAACCTTTACTATCATCAGCATCGCAAGTACAGTGTCAAAACTCCGACGTACCATTAACCTCTCCTTCCACATCGGTCGTCTGAGTGTACACCGCTCCGTTACAACTGAACATCTCTGTCTGCTCGCGCAGCTCCTCGATTACCCTTAACGCACGATAGTTCCATATTTCTAGATCTGCATCAATTTCATATGTCTGGTCAATAGCCGCGATCGCCACATCGTCATTCCACAAGTGCTCGCTGCCCAAAACTTCAGCATCGCGCGCGCCTTGTGTGAAGGCAAGACAACTCACATGGTCGTGTTAACCCCAACACCTCCAAATTCGCCTTGGAAACCAATACGGTCGCCGTGAAATGGGAGCGAGGACAGAGAGTTAAACGGCGCGCCACATTGCGGACTACTGTAGTGGTGGTTGTCGTGAAAGTCGCCAACGCTTGCGTTGAGGAGGGCTTGACCGTAATCATGCCACCCCGAGACAGCATTGATGAGCTGGTGTCCTCCAACCCACTCCGCCACGCGCGGTGCAAGGTATATTTCTGGTCCGGTGGGAAGCTGACCCCACCCCTCTGTAATTGCAATATGATGAGCCTTGTGAAAAGGCAGAGACGGGCTTGTGCATACCATTATAGATCACGAAGGACGTGATAGCCGGGAAACCCATATGCGACTTGAATAGCACCTCGAGTTGCCGTTCAAACTCTGCCTGCTGTGCCTCGTTAGGGTCGACGTTATTAGGAAGCGCGGGCATATCCTGCATAACGAGCATTCCAATACTCGCGGCAGCTAGTAGTACAGATCTGGTTCCATCTTGATGTGCTTGCGACTACATGCGAATGATAAGTTTACGTGTAGAACTATGTTAGGCGACGTACATGAAGTTCATGCCCAGATTTTTCAAATACTGGATGTCAAAGATCATTGCGTCATACGATGGCGGCTGTCAATAAAAGGGTAAGCTCGACGTTGCGCTCTAGACAAACGATACTCACCGAGTGAAGCCCATCCGGCCAATATCCTTGATCCAATGGCCCAAACTGATATATGGGCTCTCCGTTGAGCAAAAAGCGCTGTACTCCGTTAACCTCCTTTCGCTCCACCGTCCGAAACGCGGTATATGAGTACGCAACGTCGTTTCCTACAGTAACGGACACATTGTACACCACCGGTGTATCCGGGCTCCACGTCTGCGGTGCTGGCTCGACAACAACGGAGAACGGCGCGTTCGTCGTGCCGTTTGTCGAAAACACGATTTGAGACGCGTCGCCGGGGTCCAAGAATGCAATCTGCGCACTGGTAGAGGATGTGTTTGATGTGGTGGTTATAGTCGCGTTGACGGTGCCGTCTGCTGCTGCAAAGAGTAGGATGTCGGTTATGTGATCAGAGCTCGGCACGGCTTCAAGGGATACGGTTTGCCATATTCCAGAGCACGGCTGAGGGGTTGACGGGTTAGTAGAGGAAAATGTAACACGGAGCAGTCTTGTAGCATACCGTGTAGAATATGTGCGACGGCACAGTGCGCTGCTTGCCGACCGGGATGACCTCTCCCGCACTGTCGGTGGGGTCATATACGAACAAAATGAGTTCGTTCGACGCGCTTTTGTCGATATACGACGTGACGTCAAACGAAAACTTGTCAAAGCCGCCTGTGTGCGTGCCGACTTGTTTCCCGTTGACAAACACTGTCGTCTCGTAATCGACAGCTGCAAAGTGAAGCACAACATCATTGTCTCCAAAGGAAGAAGGGACATCAAAGGTGGTGCGATACCTGAACATAGAATGACATCAGCCAGCCGAAGCAGAAGGTCGACGCCAGTACACGCACCAACTAAAGGCGGACTGCAGCGCAATACCCGAAAGGCCGCTCCTACCAAGCAAGTCAGTAATGAACACGCCCTTCCCAGAATAAACAAACCCACTCAATACAAAATGGCACCAGTATCCTTTGCCCCAACGTCGTCCCAACCGGAACGTCCTGTACATCGTCCTTCGACGCCGCGCGCTCAAACTCCCATACACCATTCAGTGACACCCAGTTGTCGCGCCTCAGTCCCGGGCGCGGGTGCTCGGGCCACACATTCTCGGGATCGGCAGCCACCGCGTCCGTCCACGGCGTCTTCAACTTGGGCTCAACGAGCGCGTAAACCGCGTCCTCTGGCGAATCGTACGTCGGACGCACATCAGTGAGCCCGCCGTTCTTTGGCAGTTGCGCATGGGAACAAGTGAGAAGCGCGAGTGTTACTGCTAGTGCTGCGAACCCAACCATTGCGTGCTGTAGCTCTTTCCCTGATATTATATATCCTAGAGAGAGTCTGGAAACTGCGAGATGATGTTTCAGCTACTGCCCCGCGCATGGAGAGCCCGCTCAAGTGATCAGTAAGAGTGGGATCATGGGGTGGTGCAAGGGTGGGCCAAGCCGGGTGATGCACAAGATGGGGGTATTGGATGGTTCAGCAATGTGTAAGAACGTTCTGAAAGAAGCTGTTGAGGTCAGTGTTCGTCAACTGATGATGTTCTTGTTCAAGAATCAAGAGGTATCCGTCGGGAAGGGTACATATCACGTGGCTATATTCCTGACTCGTCGTTGTCGCGAGTATTACGATCTACCAGACCCATGATAGTGCTCTTCCAACATTGCATCTGTTCTTCAGTGCGACAATGGAAGGTAAAGAAGGATCTTTCTGAGATTCCAGTTTCCCATAATATCTTCAGTGGCCATGTAGGTCTGGGAGCGGCTACAGCAAAGTCAACGACAGAACAAACAGACTAAGAAGAAGATAGAATGAACCTGAGTTAGATCCTGTCGTTGGTGGCAGCGATACGACCTCGGTGACTCCCGACAATAAGATTCTCCCTTTCAACAAGAGCGTCGGTTCATTCCGCTGCGAGAAACCCAAAGACAGCAATTTTGGACCATTGAGCGTCCCATCGTGTCCTGAACTGCGGGCTTCCTTGCAGCATAGAATAATCTTTTCGAATACATATATCTGATACTCTCGTTCGACCTCTGTGCCCATCCTCGAGACCAAAAACACGTCAGATAGGAGCAGCTGACCCAAGCTCTCCGCGTTAAGGCCTTTCCAGTCAACGACTTGAAGCTGCAAGCGTTTAGCGACTTGAGTGTTCTCATCTCGACGAAGAGCATCGTTGATGGCCTCTGCAACGCGTTGAGAAGCCTCCAATCCTGTTTTGAGGGACTGGAGGTGGGGATGATCGCTAGGCGCCGCTTTAATGAGGCACTGCAGCATTTTGAGGGAAGCTGAGAGGACCAGAAGGGATACACACATGAAGCAATAGAGGGTACTTGCAAACTCTTGATATTGGTCGAGGAATGAAGGACATGATTTCGTATTTCGCATCAATAAGGTGGTTGAACTTGAAGTCCTAGTAGCTTGCTTGAATAAGAGAAGACGAGAAGCACCTATTGCTACTTGCCATCAATGTTTCTTTATATTCTGCGAGAATCTCTGGAGCCATAGCATAGGTCTTTGTGTACGGTTGGTATAAAGATCTGAATTCAGTTTCCTTTGGAATTTGGGGCTAGGACACGGGTGCTTTGAATATTGCTTGAGCTCACCGTCTCTACAAAATGTCGTCCCCAGTCCTGTTCACACGGTAATGACAACAAGGTGGTGTCGAAGCGAGTGGATAGATCATGCTGGAACTGCATTAATTCCGCGATGTCGGGAAACAGCTGCTGAGCGAGGCTGGAATTGCTGCGAGAGAGAGTCGAGGCGTACTCCTGAAAAAGGGTCAGCGTTGTACAGAATCTCAGAATTGGGAGGCGTACCGACTGAACCTCCAACTGTCGTACATAGTTTCGTTCAGTTCCCACTAGCTCCCGAACGACATTATGCCATTTGCTCTCCCACTTTGGAGGGCGAGGGTCGTCCATGCCAATTAGCAAAGTATTTACAGAGTCTCAGGCTTGTTAATTGTGTTGGATAGAGACCAGAGGACCAGACCATCATTTTTTATCAAAAGGGCACCTTAGAAGTTAGGGTACTTGAAAGGAAAGGAGCAGTGTGACGAGATAAGATGAAGATCGTAAGCGTGAGTAGGTAATCTGTTCGTTGTCAGACCTCAAGTGGAGAAAGGGTAGTCAATTGCGATACCTGGCGAACAACATTACGCGCATGAGTTAATTCAGAGGATAGTGCACAAAGCAATACAAAGCAATGCTACAAAGGTAAATAACGATAAGCAAGCAAGCGTCCTATAACGCGTCCTCGTCATCCCACCGAGATATCTTTCCCAGTGGGCGATAATAATATTGTTTGTATTTTTTGGTGACACTGCGTTTTGCCGGACGAGGCATTAAACTGCGTACAAGTGCAGCCCTGTCTTGGTCCTCGTCACGTTCCGGAACATAGAACCACTGTGCCTCCAAAGGTCGATCAGAGTCATCCTGTGAAGTAATCAGTCATCGGTTGGGCATATAGACGTCAAGAGATGCTCACCATGCCACTGCTTTCCACCTTGCCGAATATCCCGTTCTGACCATGTGCATCCTCCAACACGCGAGCGAATACAACAGTGCTCCAATCTCGTTGTAGGGCCGGTCGATTCGTCGTAACACTCTTGAATAGAGAGGAAGCAGAATGAGTCGAGGCCCTAGATGTCGCCATGGTCTCGATGATCATGCCGCAGATCTCTAGATCTTCCGGGCTCATAACGAGTTTAGGAATTGGGGGTGGTGGCGCCTCTTCATTTTCCGAATCCGAGTCAGATGACGAAGATGAAAATGAGGGTTGTCTCCTAC